AGGGGGGGGGTTGATGGCTCACCCAGTCCCGGGGCCCCTTTTGGGGAATTTGGGGCCGTTGCCGGCAGAGCTTGTGAAGCATTGGCTGAAGAGGTGGGAAAGGGTGGCCCCCTTGGTGCAGCTCCCCGGGGGGCCCGCGGAGGGGTTAAACGGGTTCCCGGGGTTGGGGTTTTGGTCCCGGCCGGGTGGTTTTGCCTTTTTGGAGCCTTCCGGGGGGGGGGGGGGGTTCCGGAAGGGGGGGGGGCCCTTTGGGGCCTTTCGGGTGGGGGGGGGGGGGCTTTTGCCGCAGATGTCCGGCCGGAAAGTTGCAAACCCCTTGTATGGCATTTGGGGGGGGGTGGGTTGCCCTTTTTTTTTCCTCGGAACCTCCTTTCCCTTTTTCCAGGTCCTCCTTTCCCATTCCGGGCCGGTCGTTTTTTTTTTCACAGGAAAGAAAAGGCCCCCCCCCCCCCCCCCCTGTCCTCTCCACTCCTTTCTCCTCCGATCAGGCGAGCCGGCCTCGGGCAGTCCGATGCCTGGCAGTCCCCTCTGCTCCTCCCTCATCAACAGCCCTCTAAAGCAGCACACTCACTCGCAGCGACTCAGCGTTCACAGGCAGCCCCTCTGGTCCTCCCTCGCGGCGGCGGCGCTCTCGTCTGCCGACACACTCGGCGCACCAGACTGCCAGAGACGGACCGAGATTGAGAGCACCCGACACTCACGGCAACCGCTCTCTCGCTCCAGCTGACGCGCGTGCGCAGGCCCGCCCCTCCCTCCGCCGCCCACCCGCGCTGCTTTGCTCTCTCTTTTTTGTCAGGCACCGCAGACTCGCTCCAGCTGACGCGCGCCTTCGGTCCGCTCGACGCTGCTGGCCAGGTTGCGGTGGCGGACGTGCTTACCGCTGTTGCGAAGCGGCTGTGCGACGCTCCGGCAGGCGGCCGCTCGCTCCTCGCGGCCTGAGAAGAGTGCAATGATGAGAGGAATGATGAGACTGATAATGAGAAGGTAGTCGTAGGAAAGGAAGGGCATACCTCACACTAGAACTCGCAACTCAATTCTAATAATAAGAGCCAGAAGAATGACTAGTGGATACCTGTTAATTGCCTCCGGCAGGCAGCTGCCCGCTCCTCTCCGCCTGATCATAATGGAATAAAGGAAGAAGAAGAAAGCAGTCGGAGATAGGGAAGGGCATACACTACGAGTGATAATAATAATAATGACGCTAGTGAAGATGAGTTAACCCTGCCAGGCGGCCGCCCGCTCCTCGCCGCCGCATCCTCGCCCGAGCTCGTCGGCATCGCCTCCGCCTTCGCCGCCGCGCGGCCGCAGCACGGCGCCGGGTGGGTCTGCGCGCCGTTGGCGTCCGAAGCCGCGCGCCGGCGTACAGAGCTGCGACCCTGGCAGCTCGGCCGGCTCAGCCTCGCTCTCTCGCGCCTCGGCGAGCCGCTTGCTGCGGACGCCGAGGCGAGGCCTAGCCGAGATCCGAGATGCAGCCGAGGTGCAGCCGAGGTGCAGCCGAGGCACAGCCGAGATGCAGCCGAGGCACAGCCGAGATGCAGCCGAGATATGCCGGTGTGAGTCACAGCCGTGCGAGCTGTGAGCTTCATATGCTTCTAGCTCACCCGCTCTGTCTGTCTCGCTTCTAGCTCACCCGCTCTGTCTGTCTAGCTTCTAGCTCACCCGCTCTGTCTGTCTGGCTTCTAGCTCACCCGCTCTGTCTGTCTGGCTTCTAGCTCACCCGCTCTGCCTGTCTGGCTTCTAGCTCACCCGCTCTGTCTGTCTGGCGTCCGATCAGCCCTCCCGCGGGCAGGACCTCGCCGACGAGATTTGCACCCGCATCCGCCACTTTGGCGCGCACGAGCTCGCCTTCCTCTCCGCCTCCCTCTCGGCCGGCGCCCCTGACCGCCATCCTTCACCGCCACGCCTCTTCGCCGCCGTCGCCGCCCACGCCGCCGCTGCCGCGCGCTCCCTCGACGCCGTCGCCCTCGCCGCCCTCGCAACCGCCTTCGCCCAGGCGCCCACTACCCGAGATCATTCGAGATTACCCGAGATTACCCGAGCTTACCCGAGATTACCCGAGATTACCCGAGCTTACCCGAGCTTACCCGAGCTTACCCCACACATGCCACCCGAGCGTACCCCGAGATTTCGCTAGATTCCGCTAGATTCCGCTCGCTTCCCCGAGATTCCCCGAGAGTGCCCGCCATCTCCTCCGCCCAGGCGCCAGAGTACGCGGGCGGCGGGACTGGCCCTGCGAGAGGAGCGGCGGCGGCTGCTCCCGGCGCTGCCGCCGCCGCCGCCAGCGGCATCGGCGGCGGCGGCGGCGGCGGTGGCGGCGGCGGCGGTGGCGGCGGCGGCGAGAGCGAGGTGGACGGTGCGGAGGTAGAGTACGCGCGCGCCCTCTTCCGCGCTGTCGGGGAGGCGGCGGCGGCGGGGGCGGCGGCCATGCGGCCGCGCGAGCTCGCCGCTCTCTCGCGCGCGTGGGCGCGCGCTGTCCAGGCGCGCCACGCCGATGTCCAGCGACACATCGAGATTACCCGAGATCACCCGAGATCACCCGAGATCACCCGAGATCACCCGAGATCACCCGAGATCACCCGAGATTACCGGCGTCCGTGTTGCGCAGGCGGGCCGCGCAGAGAGTGACCCTCGCTTGCTGGCCGAGCTCATCGCGGCGGCGCGGCCACAGCTACACTGCTTCTCGGCCGGCGAGCTGGCCACCTTGGCGTGGGCTGTCTCCAAGGCTTCGCTCCTCGAGCCGAGCCTGCTCGGAGGCCTCTCGGCGCAGCTGCTTGCAGAGCAGCCCGACGGCACGCTGCGCTTGCGGGAGCTGGACAGCGGCGAGCTAGAGAGAGGGCCGTGATCTCGCCGAGATCTCGCCGAGATGGAGCAGAGGGAGAAAGCTGGTGATGGACATCGGCGGGCTTCGGACGCTCGCGATGGACCCTTTCCGGATCCTTCCCGGAACCTTCCCGGAACCTTCCCGGACCCCTTCTTCCCGGACCCCTTACCGGAACCCTTCCCGGACCCTCCCCGGACCTTTCCCGGAACCTTCCTGCAGGCGAGCTCGTGATGCTCACCATGGCGCTGCGCATCGCGCGCCGCAGCGCGCGCGGGCAGCCCGAGCTGCTCGACGCTCTCGGCGACGAGCTGGCGCTGCGGCAGACGGAGCTCACGTCGCGCGAGCGGCGGATGGTGGCCAGCGCGTTCGCGTACCTCGGCCACGAGCAGCCACTGCACGCGGTGCAGGACAGCGGCGAGGAGTTCTTCGTCGGGTGACCACCCGCTGTGCGCTGAGCTCCAATCTTGAGCGCGGTGTGTGTCGGCCATGGGGGAGGCACATGCATCGTGTGGTGTGGTTAAGCGTATTTTCGATTCGAAACCATCGCAAAATCGCCCGGCGCTAATAACAAGCTAATTATTAGGTACCTGCTAATAATTAGGTACGTTATTAGGCTAATAGTTTGATAGTGTAGCACCGGACGGTTCAGCCCGTTGGCGATCGCATTCTGTTGGGCCTTGCACTTTGAATGCCGTGGGGCTCCTGTCGTCAGACGTGGAGACGCGAGGGTTGCCCCCCCTTGCCCCACCACCTCGTGTGTGTGGAGAAGTTTACCTTACCTTACCTTACCTTCTGTTGCGAGTGATACTCTTCACTCATTACTAATGCCGCAGGACTCGGTACTGATCGCGTCTAAAAGATTGTACAAGCCACCTAATTTGTATTGAGCTTAGATGTATTACATACCGTCCTCGCACAACTACTCACGAGCGTGCCGGCTGGGGTGTCAGTGTGGGCCGCGCTGGCGACCAAGGTGCTCAAGGCCGAGGCGGGCCGATTACGTTCCTGTCAATTTTCCGAGCGACGACAAACCGGTTGCGATGGGGGTGTACTATATATGCTTGTCACTTGTCGCCGCTGATTTGGTGGAGCCGGCTTTTCTTGTGTAGCTTCCGCTCTGCTTCGTTCCAGCGCGTCCTGGGAGCAGCAGGTGGCTGTCATTCTTGTGCGCATCGTACTTGTGCATCAGGCGCGCATAGTCCTTTGCCGTGAGCAATGGCATTGGGCGCAGTGCGCTGTAGTTGCCATCCTCGACGCCTCGTTTGTACTGATGGCGGCGGATCTCGACGTGGCGTGCCTTGCGGAACCATGCGCCAGCGTCGTCGATGTTGTAGAAGATGTGCGCGTCATCCTCGATCCCGTGCAGGGCGCGGAAGTCTAGCACCGCGTCCTTCGCGCCCCACAAGGATCTGCGGGAGGTGCCGATACCCTGGCGCCAGCCAAAATCGTCAATGATGATGAACCCTCCGACCTCGACCAGGTCGTAAAGATTGTAAAGGATGTCAATGGTTGAGTCGTACATATCGCCATCCAGCCTCAGCAGCGCAAGCCGCTCGCCGCGGCCCTTGAGCTCGGCACGCAGCCCCGGCAACGAGTCAACAAAGTATCCCGGCACCATTCGCACCCCCTCCATAGACACTCCAAACCGGTAGAAATTGCGCGTCACAGTGTCCTCGCCCTTGGCGAGCGTGGCGTTGAATTTCTTACCCGCGTAGCTGGTCTCGTCGAGTCGCAGGCTGCCTGAACGAGGTGGAGGCAGCCCCTGAAACGAGTCGCACAGGTACACGCGCCGCTGCATCTGGTAAACCTCGATCACCGCCTTGGCAAAGATGGACATTCCGCCGCGCCACACGCCGCACTCGACGTAGCTTCCAGAGACTTTGGCACTGCGCGCGTTGAGGAGGAGCGTGGCAACGTTCTGCAAACGCTTATGGCCGGCCATCGTCGTGCCGAGTTTGGGCCATGGGCCGCCCATAATGTACATCTGCATGCACGTGAGATATTTAGCCTGCGTCTCTGCGGCTTCACACATGAGCGAAGAGCTCGTTAGAAGGCTAGCAAGCATCCGCAGATATGCAGCTTCCACGTCGACAGACGCGCGAAGCGCATCATGGCCAATGCCGGACTCCGCCTGAATCATTGTGAGCTCACGGACCCAGTCAAGTGGCGGCGCAAGCAGTGGCCGAGGTAGCTGGACAGCACTCGCCATGTCCAGAATCATAGCCGCCAGTACAATCCGCCGCCACGCCCGCCGGAAAAATTTTTACTCCATTTTGAGCTTTTCTCTTGCAGATTTCTTCACACCACACAACCCACCTTGCAGAAAGAAAGAAAGAAAACAGACAACCCAAGGGAGGGATGGGAGAACGGCACGCCGCCACCACACAGGGATTTTAAGGAGAGGAGTGTGATGCGCTAGCCGTCGCCTACCCTAGGGAGTCTGCCTCTTCCTATCTCTCTTCGCAGTCTCTCTCCGATAACCCACCTTGCAGATTACTACATTCCGATTTTTTTCTTTTTTGAGCTAGATGCTGTACCGCAGCCCGGCGAAGGATATCCACCTCGAGAACCCTATCCGGTGCTTGGAGTGCAGTCTTCGCAGTGGGTCACGGCCGCGTCATCAGCCGACGGTGTCGATGTTGGCCGGCTTTACGGTGGGAATGGTTACGCTGAACCATGCTGGTGTGGGGCTGTTCCCGCCGCCGTGCCGCCTCCGAGTCGCGCCGTCTTCGACCTTCGCCATGGCTGCACCAGCTGCTGAAGGCCCGGCCAGTGACAGCAGCACAGACGGAGGAGCGATGGCAGCTGCGCGAGGGCGAAAGGCGCGAGCGGCGCGGCGGCGGAAGCACGGCGAGGAGGGTGACCGCGCCATCTCCCAGCGGGCGCACCTCGCGGCGGCGGAAGCGGCGGGCGGCGCCGACGCGCTCGGCCGGGCTGGCATGGCGGCGGCGGCGTCAGCGGCCGGCGGGACGGCGGCGTTTGCGGCGGCCGGCCGCGCGAGCCGCGCAGCGGCGCACCCACTCGGCGAGACTGGCGTGGCGATGCATACCGGCATCGGCGCCGCCATCAAGGAGGGTCGGTACACCAAGTACCCCGGCGTTCAGTTTCGGCGAGAGACGGGTGGCCGCGTCCGTCGAGATGCAGCGGAGAAGCAGCTTCTAGAGAGCAGCAACGGCTCTAGCAAGCCTTTGGATCAGCCCTCGGCCCCTGGGGGGGGACCCCCCAAGGTGCCCCTTAAGGAAAGTGGGGGGTGCAGTTCAAGTACCGGGCGGTGGGGCCCGGGGTCCAAGGAAGGCTTTCCCCCCCCCCCCCCCCCCCCCCTCCCCCGCCGCTTGGATGTATGACACCGTCCACGACACCGTCCTCCACCGTCCTGAACGCGTCCATACATGAGTGCACCGGTCGCGCATCGATTGAGTAGTGCCGCCGCCGCACCCCTCAACGGCCCCCGCCCAAAGACCGCGCGGCGGGGACCCTAACCCTAACCCTAACCCCAACGCCCCCTTCGGAACTCTCCAGGCCAGTTCGCGCTCGAGGCGGACGCGGCGCGCGCTCACGACGCGTGCGCGCCGCGGCTCAGCGGCGGTCGTCCTTAACAGCCGTCTCGGAACCTTCTCGGAGCCTTCCTGTAGGTATGTGCGAGCGCACGGGCTGAGGCGAGATGCGCCCGAGATGCGCCCGAGATGCGCCCGAGATGCGGCCGAGATGCGGCCGAGATGCGGCCGAGTTGCGGCCGAGATGCGGACGAGATCGCGGGATCATCGGCGGCGGCACTTTTCCCCCTTGCGACGGCCAGGCTGGAGCGTACCACGAACTTTCCTGGAAGCGTCCCTGCAGGCGGCCGTTGCATTTTCCCGCCGACGGCGAGGTCGGCTCGCTCTCCGCGCAGGCGCGGAGACCGGCCGAGCGGTCGCCGAGAGGAGGCTAGATGTGCCGCCACGTCCTCGCTGCTGGCTGACCGACTCAATCAGACGGTTGAGCTGCGCAGAGCGAGAGGAGCCTTCTGCCTTTCGGCCGCTCCTCCCGCTTTCGCCCCTCTTGAGCCGTTCACACACCTTGGACCGCGCATCCCCCGGCAAATGAGCGCTAGTGACTGCACCCTTCAAGCTTGCTGCGTCTGGTGTCTGTCGACCCGCTTCATCTCGGCTTATCTCGACGAATCTCGACGAATCTCGGCGAATCTCGGGCAGGTGCAGCCGTCCGCCGCCTACCGGCCCCGCTCGCTGCTGCCCTACGCGTACGAGCGCTACCTGCAGGCATCTCGGTCAATCTCGGCGAATCTCGGCGAATCTTGGCGCATCTCGGCGCATCTCAACGAATCTCGGCTCACCGAGCACCACCTGCTGCGCAGGCCTCCCAGCCGCAGCTAGAGGAGGGGGCGACGGGGAGCGGGAGCGAGGAGGAGGAGGCGGCGGAGGCGCCGCGAGAGGCGGTCGAGGGTGGTGCGGGAGAGGCGTCCACGGGGGTGGCGGCGACGCTGACGGACGTTCCCTGACCTCGTATACGTCGATCGATGGCGGTCCCGCGAGGTGTATATGGCCATGACGCATGACCCGAACGTAAAAGTCTAAAACCGTGTCTTGAGAGTCTCTCCGATGGAAGAATGAAGAATCTTCAACCTGTTTTGCCTTCTTAACTCTACGCTTACGCTCAGTCCCCCCCGCGCACGCTCAGTCGTCCCGCGGCTCGGGGCCGCAGCCGCCCTCCACGCGCTTGCAAAAGCTGTGGTACCAGCCGGGCTGCCGCGGCGCCCTCCACGTCGGAGCCGCCTATGGGACGCTACGGGGCGGGTCGTGAGGGCATGTCTGTGTCTAGGAGGCCGGCGCCCACCGCGACGGAGCCGCCGCGTCCGCCACGATGCCGCTCTGCCACGTCAGCCGCTCGGGCGGCGGCCCTGCGGGACGTCTCGTGGAAGTGTCAGTGTATATGTTTCGTGGCTGGCTCAGTGGACATGTCAGTGCACGTGTCAGTGGACGTGCCACGGCCGTGTCGGTGGATGATGGACTTGTGCATTCGGAGCCAGACACTGTGGCTCGTGGCTGATGACATGGCACATTTTCTCAAGCAGTGTATCGGAGGTGTCTCGGAAGTGTCTTGGCGTTCGAAGGTGCCACGCACCGGGCCACAGCTGCTCCGGGACCGCCCACGGCCACTTCTTCCGCTCGGCGGCTCGGAAGGGCGCGGGAAGAGTCGGCCCTGCCGCCACCGGCGAGGAGAGGTTGCCTTCGAACTTGAGCCAACACTCGCCTGCGCACAGATCGGAGCTGTACAATAGCACAAGAGGTGTCGCCATCGGCCTAAGAGCTGGCACTCGCCCTTCACGTGCTTGTGTATGTCGTACGAAAAGCAGCGGTCCTCCGCGCCGGCGCGATCCGAGCCCGCGCAGAACACCCAGGCGTTGCAGCGGCCGCGGCCGCGCCCGCACTTCTTCCCGGGCGCGTACTCTTGCGCCGGATGCGTCTGTGTGCCGCAGTGCTTCTGGTGCGCCGCGCAGAGGGCGCAGCACTCGCCGGCGGACCCGACAATGTTGTTCAAGCCCCTACGAGCAGCAGCGGCTCAGCCCACAGGCGGCGTGTGAGTGGCGAGCAGGCAGTGTGCTCACCAGACGTAGGCGGCCTGGCCCGATAGGTCCCGTCCGTCTCGCGCGTGGCAGGAGAGCGATCTGGGGAGCGCCGCCTCCGCGTCGACCTGTGTGGCGAAGCGAGCGGTGAGCATGACACGTGTGGAATGAAGAAAAAGCACGCGATAATAAAAAAATAGTACTGTCAAATCGCTAAAAAGGAACACGTCCCCGCCCTTGCGATCAGTAGGTTTTAACTCCGTCGGTGCGCCGGCGTGCTTCCACTCTCGAGTCCCGTTACGAGTGGAGACTACTGACATCCGAATAGGAAATTAGAGCGAGTGCAGCGAGCAGTTCGCGAATTCTTTTGCAGACCCACACACAAAAGACAGTCAAAGTGACAAAGAACATTTTCAAGGACACGAGCTGGGGAGTGGGGTGTGGCTGTGGGCTGGTGCCTGTGTGGAGTCTGGGGACGCGTCCCACCGCGGGACTCTCTCTCTCTCTCTCTCTCTCCGCTCTCTCTCTCTCGGGTGCGGGGTGGGGCGGGGGTGGGGCACCTGCGTATTTATCTCGCAGAGCACATGGCATGACTGTGCGCGACACATGCGCGGGAGACCGTGCCCGCGCGCGAGCCGCGGGCGGGGGGGGGAGGCCCTCACGGCCTTCCGACCGAGACCAGCAACGGAGGGGGGCAGGAGGGCGCGCGGAAAGCCGCGGGCTCGGCGCATAGCACGGGACAGTCGGAGAAGGGGGCGACACTGACCGTCACTTGCACCCTACCGCCCTTCTCATCACTGCCCCGGCGCCCACGCCTCGACCTTCTTTGGCAGGAGCTGGTTCGACAGGTCCTCTCCGTGGCCAAGGCAGCCACGCTCACCCTCGCCCCACGTGAAGACAGCGCCGTCGGCGGTGCGGGCGATGCTGTGGTTGTCTCCTGCCGACACCCCGACGACGCGCCGACCCGCAAAAGCCTCGACCTTCTTGGGCAGCTGCCGGTTCTGCTGGTCGCCGTGGCCCAACCGGCCATACCAGCCCTTGCCCCAAGTAAAGACGGCGCCGTCGGCGGTGAGGGCGAGGCTGTGTTCGTCTGCAGTCGACACAGCGACGACGCGCTCGCCAGCAAACGCCTCGACCTTCTTCGGCAGCCACTGGGTCTGCTCGTCGCCGTGGCCCAGTTGGCCGTAGCCTCCACTGCCCCAGCTCCAGGCAGCGCCGTCGGCGGTGAGGGCGATGCTGTGGTACGATCCAGCCGTCGCGGCCATGACACGCCGACCAGCGAAGGCCTCGATCTTCTTGGGCAGCAGCTGGTCCTGCCGGTCGCCGTGGCCCAGCATGCCGCGGCTTCCAAAGCCCCAGCTCCAGACAGAGCCGTCGGCGGTGAAGGCTAGGGTATACGAGAATCCAGCCGCGACAGCGACGACGTGCTGGTGAGCCAAGGCCTCGACCTTCTTTGGCAGCGACTGGCTCTGCTGGTCGCCGTGGCCCAGCCTACCGCGGCTTCCAAAGCCCCAGCTCCAGATGGCGCCGTCGGCGGTCAGGGCGAGGCTGTGCACAGCTGCAGCCGACACAGCGACGATGCGCCGGCCAGCAAAGGCCTCGATCTTCTTCGGCTGCCACTGGTTCTGCTGGTCGCCGTGGCCCAACCGGCATGAGGCTCCCCAGCCCCAGCTCCAGACGCTGCCGTCGGCGGCAAGGGCGAGGCTGTGCCCGGCTCCAGCCGACACACTCACGGCCCGCTCGCCGCCCAGCGGCGAAGAGGCGGGTCGGCGTGTTGAGCTGCGTCACGCCCTCGCCGTGGCCGAGGAGGCTTGGGGAAAGGAGGGGGTGATCCGGCACATAGCCGCACGACGAGAGCCGCCCCTCGCCGTCGATGAAGAGGCTGTGCCGAGTGCCTGCGGCCGCCCTCGCCGGCTGGTTGGACTCGCACAGCAACGCCGAGTAGCACAGCCACCGCACGGCGCAGCCCTCGCCCTCCGGCTGCACCGGCAGCTCGAAGCCGCGCTCTTCCGCCCGCAAGCGGATGGCCTCCAGCGCAAGCGAGGCGTGGAAGAGCAGCGAGACGGCCGCGGCGCGAGCGATGTCGAGGGGGCTGTTGCAGCGAGAGAGGACGCGCAGGAGGAGCTCCGTGGGGAGGTCGAGGAGGCGGGTGGGCGGCGGCGTGTCTGGCGACGGGGCGGCGGTGGAGGCGGAGGCGAGGCGGCGCGAGCGGCGGCGCGGCGGGGTGGACATCGCGAGAAAAAGAAATGTAAACAATGTACCTTCCGCAATTTCTTACCCTCGCGAAGAAACGTGCAGTAAATTTTCTTCTTTTGTGTCTCCGAAGTCTCCACGTGTTTCTATGCGTCGCCTGCTCGCTGCGCCTCGCTGGCAGCGATTAGCGGCGCTGCCTGCGCTGCCGGTCGCGCATCGGCCGTGCGCGCCTCTCCGCCGCGCCGCCTCCAGTCTCGCCGACCGCCCCGAGGACGCTGCCGCCGCCGCCGCCGCCGCGAGCGCCGGCAGCTTTGCGGAGCAGCACGGCATCACGCTGACCGGCGATCTGGGCGAGGTGGACGCGACGCCGGCCACGTCGTTCGCGGCGCTGCGACGCACCGTCGGCGGCGTCGACCAGCCGCTCCCCACCGCCGTCGCCCACTTCTTGCACAAGCGCGGGTTTGACGCGCCGAGCCCGATCCAGGCGCAGTCGCTGCCGCTGACGCTGGCGGGGCGCGACGTGGTTGCGATCGCGCAGACGGGGTCGGGGAAGACGCTCGGCTTCCTGCTCCCTCTCCTCTGGGAGGCCGCCGCCGCTCGCAAGGCAGAGCTAGCCCCTCTGCCTCTGCCCCTGCCCGAACCCTCTCGGAACCCTCTCGGAACCTTCTCGGAACCCTCTCGGAACCCTCTCGGAACCATCCCGGAACCTCCTCGGAGCCTTCTCGGAACCTTCGGGCAGGCGGACCGGTCCACCCGCGGCCCTCTCGCGTTTGTGCTGGCGCCGACGCGAGAGCTGGCGCAGCACACCCGCGACGAAGCAATTCGTGCCCCCTTGTGAACGGCGTCTCTTCACAGCTGCAGGGCTGTGAACAGGCGCAGCAGATCCACGAGGAGGCGAGGCCCCTCGCCGCCGCCTTTGGCTGCCGCACCACCTGCGTCTTCGGGGGCATGCGAAAGTACCTGCAGGAGCGGGAGGTGCTGATGCTCGGAGGAGAGCTGGGCCGGGTCGCGGGGGACGGCTAATGACGAATGATGAATCACCGTCGATTTAATGAGTGACAGGAAAGCTGGACCTGGCTGGTGGGGACGCTTACTACTATGCGCTGTCCTCCTCATCATTGTTCAACAACTACTAGGAAAGCTGGACCTGGTTGTCGGGACGCCGGGCCGTCTGAACGACATGCTGCGCGACCAGACGATCCGCACGAAGAACGTGCGGCACCTCGTCCTCGACGAGGCAATCGCATGCTCGACATGTTCACAGCAGGAGGGGTGCAGAGACGCTGGTCACAGCAGGAGGTGTGAACAGGCGGATCGCATGCTCGACATGTTCACAGCAGGAGGGGTGCAGAGACGCTGGTCACAGCAGGAGGTGTGAACAGGCGGATCGCATGCTCGATATGTTCACAGCAGGAGGGGTGCAGAGACGCTGGTCACAGCAGGAGGTGTGAACAGGCGGATCGCATGCTCGATATGGGGTTCGAGCCGCAGCTGCGGGAGATCGTCGACCATTTGCCCGCAGACGGCGGCCGGCAGACCTTCATGTTTTCGGCGACGTGGCCTTCGGAGGCGCGCAAGCTGAAGGAGGAGAAGACGACAGTGTTCGGCTCAATGAATCAATACCTTTGAATCATGACCACTCGTGCAGGTGGGGAAGCTGAAGGATGATCATCATGCATGATTTGGTTCAATGATGAATCAACGACACTCGTAGGTGCGCAAGCTGGCGATGGACTTTCTGGACGACCCGGTCCGGTCCAACGTTGGCGGGGAGGAGGGGCTAAGAGTAAGATTAGTTAACTAATTCGTGTGTCTCAGGTCCGGATCAACGTTGGCGGGGAGGAGGGGCTAAGAGTAAGATTAGTTAACTAATTCGTGTGTCTCAGGTCCGGATCAACGTTGGCGGGGAGGACGAGCTTGTCGCCGCTAAGTCGATTGTGCAGCAGGTGCGGCCCCGCCAGTAGACAGACCTCATCAGCACTTTCTGCTGCGATTCCTCCTCCTCCTACCTACTGCTTATTGCTGCTGCTGCTGCTGCTACTGTTGCTTACCGCTAGTTCTACTGCTGCTGCTGCTGCTACCAACTGCAGCGGGTCTTGCTTGCGCGAGGTGCGGCTCTGCGACGCGCGCGGCGCCAAGCTGATCGACTCTTCCGACCTGATCGAGAAGATGGAGGCGGCGATGAAGGAGGAGGGCCACGGCAACGCGCGCTCCTCGCGCGCCTGCCACACCATCGTCTTTGTCAACCGGAAGCGAGACGCGGAGATGGTGGCCGAGTACATCGAGCGCAACGTCGAGGGCGTGCGCGCCGAGTCGCTGCACGGCGATTTGCTGCAGGCGAGAGGCAGCCGAGATGCAGCCGAGATGCAGCCGAGGTGCAGCCGAGGTGCAGGCGAGATGCAGCCGAGATGCAGCCGAGATGCAGCCGGTAATCTCCAGCCTCGTGGCTTCACAGCGCCCTCCGCCTGCTGTAGGGCCGGAGGGACCGGGTACGCGACAACGTCAAGAGCGGTCGCGCGCAGGCGCCCCTCGCCACGGACGGCAATCCTGATCATAATAATAGTTAGTCATCATAACTGTTGTTGATGTTGCCGCAGGTGCTCGTCGCCACGGACGTCGCGGCGCGCGGCCTTGTCTTGGCCCCCATCCGCAAGGTTGTCAATTTAGGTGACAAGAAAAAAACGGGGGTTTCCGTGGGGAATTAAGTTTAAGCCTTTCGCCAGGTTATTAATTGCGCCTTGCCAAACAATAAGGGGGGTTACTTCCCCCGTTTTGGCCCCCCCGCCCGGGGGGGCCCAAGGGGTAAAACCCCCCCCCCCCCCCCCTCCCCCCCCCCCCCCGCCGCCGCCGCCGCCGCCGCCGCCGCGGTGCCGCGCCTCCTCACGGCCGGCGGTGTGAGCAGGCGACGCCATCTCCTTCTTCCACCCGGATGAGGACGCGGCCGTCGCCGGCAAGCTGGCGAAGGTGCTGCGGGACCATGGGCAAGAGGTGCACCTCTAGCCGAGAGGCAGCCGAGGGGCAGCCGAGGGGCAGCCGAGGGGCAGCCGAGGGGCAGCCGAGGGGCAGCTGAGGTGCAGCCGAGGGGCAGCCGAGGTGCAGCCGAGGGGCAGCCGCCGTCGCCGAGGTCTAGAGAGCTGGCATCTTTCACGGACATGTCCCGCGAGTCTCCTCGCTGAGTCACCCGCTGCCGAGATCCGGAGAGCTGGCCCACGGACCGCGGGCAAGGAGGGAGAGTCACACTCTCGGTCGCAGTGACACGGAGCGAGTGACACGGAGCGACAGCGGTGGAGCATGTCCTCCGGCAGGTGTCCGAGGAGCTGCACGACCTCGTCAAGGCCAACCCGAGCCCGTTGGGCGGTTGGTTGGGTCGGTCATTCATTACTTCACTCCTGCGCAACTTTGCCTAGGCCAACTCGAGCCGCCGCTTCAGCACCCGCTCGTTCCGCGGCAACGGCGGGCAGCGCAACCGCCGCGGCGGAGGCGACCGCACGAGATCACACGAGACCGCAAGATCACCCACGATTGGCACGAGATTTGCACGAGATGACACGGGTCGACCCAAGATCACCCTCGCTCACCGGGATATGGCCCGAGGTCGGCCCAGATCCCCCGAGGTCATATCTCGGTCACATCTCGGTCGTATCTCGAGGTCGGCCTAGGCCACATGAGGCCACACGAGGCCACACGAGAGGCCGCCCGACGATCACCTTGAGGAGCATACCTAGGCTACCGCCGCGACGGCGGAGGCAACGGCGGCGCAGCCTACGCCACGCGGGGCCGCAACGGCGGAGGAGGCTACGGCGGCGGCTACGGCGGCGGCGGTGGCAGCTACGGCGGCGGCGGCGGAGGGCGCCAAGGTTCCCGCCGGCGCGATTTTGACCGCTTCGACGACGACGATGGCTACGGCGACTTCGACCGGCGACAGGACAGCGGGTACGGCAGTGGCGGCGGCGGCGGCAGCCGGCGCGGCGGCGGGTACGGGCGGCGGGGCGGGTCGGGGCCCCGCGGCTCGGGCGGGTCGGGCGGTCGTGGGAGCTACCTGGATGACGAGTTTTGAGGCGCTCTCGGGGAAGGAGGGGCGGGAGGGGCGATCCGCTCTTTCGCCGCTCCAGCGCGGTGGAGGCGGCGCCAATCTCCGCCGGCACCGCCACCACAGCTAAGGGACGGGTTGGCACAGATCTTGGATACCTCTCTACCCAACACCGTGGGACGCTGCTGCACTGGTGCTGTCAGGCCTTCTTTTCACCCTCGCTCTCTCCCTCCTCTCTGACATCCACACAACTAAAATGCACTTGGATAAAATGATTCAGAGATCCGCCCGTCCAAACACAAAGGCTAGTGGCTAGTTCCATTTCACAGTGTGCACAGCTCGCGTTACACAATCTTGATTTTGGTCATTTGCGCCATTTGATACCTCTCGGTGCCTTCCAGAGGCAGCTGCGACCCCGCCGAGTGGACGGGCGCACACAGCAGGGGCGCGGTGGCGCCC